GACAAGCACCTTAACTTCCAGATTATCTCTCCAGCCTTTTCTATTCCTTTTATGTCTTTCTTTTCCAGGTTTTTTTTTTAATTAAGGCACCTTAATTTCCAAAATTATTCATAGTTGGATTTCAGGTGTAGGGTGATCCAGCACCTGTCCTGCCACCCTGTATTGGATCTTTTTTTTGGGGGGGGGTCACACCCGGTGATACACAGGGGTTATTCCTGGCTCTGCACTCAGGAATTAGTCTTGGCGATGCTCAGGGGACCATATGGGATGCTGGGACTCGAATCCAGGTCTGCTGCGTGCAAGGCAAATGCCCTACCTGCTGTACTATCGCTCCAGCCCCATATTGGGTCTTCTTGTTGCAGTGATGCAAGGTGTGCAAGGTGGAACCCAGGCCTCACCATTTGAGCCACATCCCCTGCCCTTGCCCCTATCTGCTCTGTTTCTAGCTTTCTTATTAGAGGTACTGTGAGATATCCAGGAATTCTGGGTATCCTGGGTATTCAGATACTCATTTGGGGTGAGTTGTGGTTCAAGCCTCTTGGAAGTGGCAGGCTGGTGATCATGTGACAAGGGCTGCTGACTCAGCTTAACAGCAGGTGACCTGTCTGTCTGAACTTTCTTTCTTCTTTTTTTTTTTTTTTTTGCCTGTGCCAGGGGTTGAATCCAGGGGCTCACACATGCAAGCCAGGCACATTCCTTGACCTGGGCCATTTCCATAAGGAAATTCCAAGTATCCTTGTTCTTTAATCTCCTTCCTCAGGTCACACCTACTTGTGCATGTGGCTCTCATTTCTTTTTGGCTTTTGGGCCACACTCCTAGCTCTGTATTTAGGGACCTCTCTTGGGGGGCAGGAGAACTAGCCCATGACTGGAACCTTGCCACAGGGGAGAGAGGGAAGGCTATTAGGACAGAGAAGGAACCACTAGACAGTGACTGCTGGATATAATCACTCTGGATAAGAACTGACTGCTGAGAGAAGGTAAAGGGATAAACATAATAACCCTTCAGTACCTGTACTGTATGCCTCTGAACCTCCTTATCATGGGAGTTGGTATTTCAGGGAGGGTGGGTTCCGCTAGAGCGATAGCACAGGGCTGGAGCAATAGCATAGCGGGTAAGGCATTTGTCTTGCATGCGGCCAACCTGGGTTTGATCCCTCTGCCCCTCTCAGAGAGCCCAGCAAGCTATCGAGAGTATCTCGCCTACACGGCAAAGCCTGGCAAGCTCCCTGTGACATATTTGATATGCCAAAAACAGTAACAAGTCTCACAATTTGTGAGACGTTACTGGTGCCCGCTTGAAAAAATGGATGATCAGGAAGACCCAATACCAATACCAATACCTGTATTGTAAACCATAATATGAGAGAGAGAGAGAGAGAGAGAGAGAGAGAGAGAGAAAGAGAGAGAGAGAAAGAAAAGTGACTGCCATAGAGGCAGACTGTTTGGGGGCTGGTGGCAGAAGGGAAACTGGGGACATTGATGGTGGGAAATGTACACAAGAGAAGGAGCCAGAACCATAGCACAAAGGGGAGGGTGTTTGCCTTGCATGAGGCCAATGTGGGATCAATCCCTAGCATGCCATATGGTCCCTCAAGCACTACCAGTAGTAATTCCTGAGTGCAGAGCCAGAAGTAACTTACCCCTGAGCATCGCTGGGTGTGACCCAAAAAGCCATAAAATCGAAAAAAATAGTTCACTGGGGAAGAGATGGGTGTTGGAACATTGTATGGCTGAAACCCAATCATGAACAGCTTTGTCACTGTTACTTCATGCAAGGCAAATTCCCTACCTAGTAAGCACCTACCTGCAGCACTAGCTCCAAAGCCCCCATGTTGATGAATGTCTCATTTAGACTGGAACAAACATGAAAATGAAGAGCGGAACCCACTCTCCCTGAAATACCAACTCCCATGATAAGGAGGTTCAGAGGCATGCAAGTACGCATACATTCATTCCCTCTTCCGTGGAGGAAAGGGCCAGAATCTCTCCCTTGGGGGTGGGGGTAGGGACCAAGGATGCTGTGGCACCAGCAGGCACTCAAGCAAGCCCAGAATGATCTCTCCAGTATTTTAGTTCTTTGTTGGGCACGTCTGTCCGTGTTTCCCACTTTATACTTGGTTGCCCACAGCAGTTGGTCAAGGTAGACTGCATTGGCCCTGAGGCTGCTGACCATGGTGGTACCTCTCTGCAAGGGTTGGATTTGCAGGCCAGAGCCATCATACAGGGGGTAGGGTGCTTGCCTTGCATGCAGCCTACCCGGCTTCAATCCTTGACACCCTGTAGGGTACTCCCCCAGTTCTCCAGGAGTGATCTCTGAGTGCAGAGCCTGGCTAATCCCCAAGCACCTCCAGGTGTGGCCCCAAAACAAAATTAAACAAAAGGGATGGAGGGGACCAGAATAATAGCACGTTGGTACGACACTTGCCTTGTACGTGGCCGACCTGGGTTCAATCCCCAGCACCCCATATGGTACCCTGAGCCCTGCCAAGAGTGAACCCTTAAGCATGAAGCCAGAAGTCAGCCCTGAGCACCAGCAGATGTGACCCAAAAACCAAAATAAAAACAAAAAGAAATTTCAAAAAAAAAAAGAATGAAGTTTTCTGGGGCTGGAGAGATCGTGCAGCTGGTCGGGCTCTGGGCTTGCACCTGGCTGACCTGAGTTGCATCCCAGCATCCCATAGGGTCTCCTGGGTGGAGTCATTCCTGGGTGCAGAGCCAGGAATAACCCCTCAGCATCACTGGGGTTACTCACACTAGGTTGCAGTAGCAGAGCTTGCCATTATGCTATTTGCGGTCACAATCTTCAGCTGAGTTGCTAGAATGCAGGGCCAGTTACGGTGCTTACCTTGCACGTGGTCAACCTGGGTTGTATCCCTGGCACAGCTGGGTGTGCCTCCCGCAAACAAAAGAGAGCTGCTTAGACACACTGCTTGCAGTGTGCATGGGGGGAGGCACTCAGACATGTCAGCAGTGCTGGCTAGTGAACTCTCAGCCTCATGCTTGCAAGGTGAGCACTTTGCCACCAAGCCATCCCCAGCAATGAGTACAGTTTTGAGTGTGTGCAGATCCAACCCAGTGTGAGAGCCATGCCTTGCTTCGCTAGGCAGGACCCTTAACCTTTGCTCTCACCCCTCCCACTCCACATTTCAGATCACAAAAGCTGAAGGGGGGGGCACAGTGACACCTCAATGTGCTGGAGTGCACGCGTGGCATGTGGGTGCCCTGGGGTCCATCCTGGGTTCCACAGGGTTTCCCTGAGGACTTGGGGCTGATCCAGGAAGCACAGCCTCCTCGGGCTCTCGAATTAAACTGTTGACACCATTGGCCAAGATGCACCAGTGGGACACCCGGGGCCTCCTGAGCACTTCTTGGGAATCCCACAAACCCTCCCTCCCTTTATAAAGCAAAGTTGAGAAGGAAGGACCCAAAGCATGGGTCACAATGTAGCTGCAGTGAGAGCAAATCCCCTAAACCTCCCAGCAGGGCTGAGAGAGCTGCGCCCCATGCAAGCCATGTGCTCATCAGAGTGAGGGATCCAACGGTACCCAGGTCTAGGTAGGGTCTAGTGAGTGCCCAAGGCCCTGTATGGCCACCAGCGTTTTTTAGGACCCATGTGCTTCTGTGTGTGTGTATGTGTGTGTGTGTGTGTGTGTGTGTGTGTGTGTGTGCTTCCAGCCCCTCTTTAAAATGGGAAGGGGGTAGGAATGGAGTGATAAGACAGCAGGGAGGGTGTTTGCCTTGCATGCTATTGACCCGGCTTCCAGTAGTAATTACTGAGGGCAGAGCCAGTAGTAGCTCCTGAGCATCACTGGGTTAAGGCACTTGCTTTGCATGTGGCTGACTCAGGTACTATCCTCAGCACCCAGGGTCTCCTGACCCAGACTGACACACAGCCATCAGCCACAAATGCAACATAATTTAAATGGGAGAGGGTGGCTGGGGATGTGACTTCAGTGGCAGAGCCCAAGGTTTTCATGGACAGGCCCTGAATTACATTCCTGCAACTGGCTGAAGAAGCTCCTATTTAAAAACTAAATAATAAAATAAACTGTGGGAAGGACTAATGAAAGGGTTGGCTCAAGAGTTACTTGGGGGGGCTGGAACGATAGCACAGCAGGTAGGGTGTTTGCCTTGCATGTGGCTGATCTGTGTTCGATTCCCAGCATCCCATATGTTCCCCACAGCACTGCCAGGAGTAATTTCTGAGTGTAGAGCCAGGAGGAACCCCTGTGCATCGCCGGGTGTGACCCAAAAAAAAGTTACTTGGGACCAGTGAGATAGCACAGTGGGGTGGGCGCTTGCCTGGCATGTGACTAACCAGGGTTTGCCATCCCATCCCTGGCACCATATATGGTCCCCAAGTCAGCTAGGTGTGATCTCTGAGAGCAGAGCTGAGAGTTAAGTGCTGAAACTCCCAGTAACCCAGGAGGGGGGGAAAAAAGGTGACTATTGTGTTACTTTTGTGTTACTTATTTAGATTTTAAAAGGGGGGGAGGGGGAGGAGGGAGTCGGTGCTCTAGAGTGACCCCTGGTGGTGCTTGGGACCATATGCTGTGGTGCTGGGGAACTGACCCCTAATTGGCTGCAGTGCAAGGCAAGGCACTTGCCCCTGTACAATCTCTCAAGCTCTAATTTAAAGCCTTTCTTTGGGTTTGGGGCCACAGACTACAGAGCTCAGGTGCCTCTTGGGAGTTATGGCCTGGAGAGCGCAGCCTCCATGCTGCCCCCCCCAACAGTTCCAGCTGCCTTCAGCCCCCACTGGGCACCAGAGCCAGCCCACATTGGCTTTGCAGCTGCCCTGCAAGGAAGGGACTGCAACTGTGTCCGTGGCACAGACAGAAACTGAGGCACGGGAAGGTGCAGTGAATCACTCCAAGCATCCCACCCGGCGATCAGAGCCTGCAGGTTAGGGCTGTCCAGGGTTTTGAGCTGGGTGCCAAGGGCACAGGGTGGGACTGGCCTGGCCCCTCCCGCCCACTCCACTCCACACCCCGCAGGAAGCTGGACGCCTTCATCTACGACGCAGCTGTGCTGAATTACATGGCCCGCAAGGACGAGGGCTGCAAGCTGGTCACCATCGGCTCGGGCAAGGTCTTCGCCACCACGGGCTACGGCATCGCCCTGCACAAAGGTTCCCGCTGGAAGCGACCCATCGACTTGGCGCTCTTGCAGTTCCTGGGGGACGGTGCGGCGCGCGGGGACGGGGACGGGGCGGGGGGGGGGAGGGGGAGGCTGGGAGCGGGGTAGACAGGCGCCCCTTGGACGGGGCACCCGGGAAGAGGGTCCTGCGTGCGGCGCTTGACCGACCGGTGTGCCGGCCCGCCGCCCCCCCCTCTCCGCAGACGAGATTGAGATGCTGGAGCGGCTGTGGCTGTCAGGGATCTGCCACAACGACAAGATCGAGGTGATGAGCAGCAAGCTGGACATCGACAACATGGCAGGCGTGTTCTACATGCTGCTGGTAGCCATGGGCCTCTCCCTGCTGGTCTTCGCTTGGGAGCACCTGGTGTACTGGCGCCTGCGCCACTGCCTGGGACCCACACAGCGCATGGACTTCCTGCTGGCCTTCTCCCGGGTACGGAGAGGGGGCGGCCGCGCGGCAGTGGGGTTCAGGTCAGCCCCCAAGGGCAGTGATCCGGGGGCGCGGTGCTGCGGGATGGAGTGGGGGTGGGCTCGGGTCCCCCGGCGGCCCCGCGCTCACCCCGTGCTGTCCACCCCTACCCCGCAGGGCATGTACAGTTGCTGCAGCGCCGAGGCCGCCCCGCCGCCCGCCAAGCCGCCCCCACCGCCGCAGCCGCTGCCCAGCCCGGCCTACCCCCCCGGGGCGGCCCGCGCCGGGCCCCGCGCCCTACGTGCCCCGCGAGCGCGCCTCCGTGGACCGCTGGCGCCGCAGCAAGGGGCCCGGGCCGCCGGGGGCCGCGGGCCTGGCCGACGGCTTCCACCGCTACTACGGCCCCATCGAGCCGCAGGGTCTGGGCGTGGGCGAGGCGCGCGCGGCCCCCGCGCGGGCCCGGGGGTCGCCCGCTGTCGCCGCCGGCCGCGCAGCCCCCGCAGAAGCCCCCGCCCTCCTACTTCGCCATCGTGCGCGACAAGGAGCCTGCCGAACCCCCCGGGGGCGCCTTCCCGGGCTTCCCGTCGCCCCCCGCGCCCCCCGCCGCCGCCGGGCCCGGGCCCGCGGGGGCCGGGGCCGTCGGGCCGCCGCTGTGCCGCCTGGCCTTCGAGGACGAGAGCCCGCCGGCGCCCGCGCGCTGGCCGCGCTCCGACCCCGAGAGCCAGCCGCTGCTCGGGCCCGGCGCGGGGGGCGCGGGGGGGCGCGGGCGGCGGCGCCCCGGCGGCGCCCCCGCCGCGCCGCGCCGCGCCGCCCCCCTGCCCCTACCTGGACCTCGAGCCGTCGCCGTCCGACTCGGAGGACTCGGAGAGCCTGGGCGGCGCGTCGCTGGGGGGCCTGGAGCCCTGGTGGTTCGCCGACTTCCCCTACTCGTACGCGGAGCGCCTGGGGCCGCCCCCCCGGCCGCTACTGGTCGGTCGACAAGCTGGGGGGCTGGCGGGCCGGCAGCTGGGACTACCTGCCCCCGCGCGGCGGCCCGGCCGCCTGGCACTGCCGCCACTGCGCCAGCCTGGAGCTGCTGCCGCCGCCGCGCCACCTCAGCTGCTCGCACGACGGCCTGGACGGCGGCTGGTGGGCGCCGCCGCCGCCGCCTTGGGCCGCGGGACCCCCGCCCCGCCGCCGCGCCCGCTGCGGCTGTCCCCGGCCGCACCCGCACCGGCCCCGGGCCTCGCACCGCGCGCCCGCCGCCCCGCACCACCATCGCCACCGGCGGGCCGCGGGGGGCTGGGACTTCCCGCCGCCCGCGCCCACCTCGCGCTCGCTCGAGGACCTGAGCTCGTGTCCCCGCGCCGCGCCCGCGCGCCGCCTGACCGGGCCCTCGCGCCACGCGCGCCGCTGCCCGCACGCCGCGCACTGGGGGGGGCCGCCGCTGCCCTCCGCTTCGCACCGCAGACACCGGGGCGGGGACCTGGGCACTCGCCGGGGCTCGGCGCACTTCTCCAGTCTCGAGTCCGAGGTATGACGCGGCCCCCCTCGGTCAGCGCAGGCCACGACCCGAGGGGGCGCGCGCGCGCCCCGCAAGGACCCCCGCACGGCGGGTTGGGGAAGGAAAAGAAAAGCACGGAGCCCGCCCGACGCCCCGCCTGGAAGCGGTTGGAGGGATATGGGGGTCCCCCACATCTCGCCCAGCCCAGGACTGGAGAGGGCGGGGATCTCGCAGCCCACTGGACTTCTTTTTTTTTTTTCTAAAACCCGACAAGGGCTTTTTAACGTCACCAGATGGGGCGGGGGGTGGGGAGTCACGCCACGCCCGCGCCCCACCACCGCGCCAGGGCCCGCGGCCCCACATCACTGTGCAGCTCCCCGGCCCCAGCCACGCCTCCGGGGAAGCCCGTTTTTAGACCTTTCTCATCCATCGGGACTCAAAACTGTGAGATGCGTTCGCCAAACTGTGACCCCAGACCTCGGCCCCGCCACACAGAACCACCCCCTCCGACCCCAGACTGTGACTTCCGACCCCCCAAAATTATTATCGGACCCCAGACTGTGACCCCGACCCCAAACTGTGACCCGAACCCCAGACTGGGCCCCGACCAGACTGTGACCCTTGACGTCAAACCGTGACACCGCCCCCTGACCCCTACCCTAGATGGTTTTTACCAACTTGGACCTCGGACACGTCTTTAACGGAAGCCCCTTCTCCCCGCCCCCATTGGACATCCTCGCCCCTGCCCCATCCTCTGGCCAAAACTTCCCTGTCAAACTCACTACTGGGCCTCAGGTGCCACCAACCACTTTCTCTCCGAAACCAACCCTTATCTGTGACCGGCAGTGATGAACCAGCAGACCCCCAAGAAGCCTCCTCTCCCCAGATCTCCAGCCGGGTCTGGGGCTGGGGGGTGGAGGAGAGGGTCTGGGAGTCTACCACCCACCCAATCACCCTTCCCACTCTCCTGTTCCACATCGCAATGTTTGGAATAAATCATGTTTTTATGTCTACTCTGTTCTAAGTGTGAGGTCTTTGTCTCTAAGCTACGCCACCATCCAAAACAAACAAAAAAATCTAATTTCTTTATTTTTTATTTATTTTTGGGTTTTGGGTCACATCTGATGGTGCTCAGAAATCACTCCTGGTGGTGCTCAGGGGACCTTATGGGATGCTGGGGTTAGAATCCAGTCAGCCTTACACATATTACTCTGGCCCCAACAACAACCAAATTTTTCTGGAGGAAAGCAGAATGGAGAGAAGTCCCAGCAAGAAAGATGGCAGAAAGAGCATTCATGTGAGAACAGATATCCTGGAGGGGGAAGGAAGACAAAGACCCAGAAGGGGACACTGAGAGAGGACATGGGAAGACAAGGGTGCTTGAGAACCTTAAAACATGGAGCCAATGGGGACAGAGCAGTAGTACAGTGCGTAGGGTGCTTGCCTGCACATGGTCGACCTGGGTTCAATCCTGGCATCCCATTTTGTACGATGACATTGGTTTGTCCTTCCTCCCCTGCCACAAGGAACTCAGGTTTATTACAGTGCACCTGAGGCACTTCCATTCCATTGTGTTTTTCTGTAAACTCTTCCCTATGCTCTCCTCCCCAACCAGTTAATCAGCTTTTCCCCCAATCAGAATCTGTTAATTTGTAAAGTCAGATCCTTCTAGGACACTGAAGTTATAAGTTAATATTGCCCTTCTCCTGTCCTTATGTCTTATGAATAGTTGACTATAAAGCAATGTCCATTTTGTATAGATACAGGAAGACAGTTAATATTAAGCTTTGTAACTTAGGATTTAATTGGCTTTGAATATTATTCACTCCCGGGCATCGATTTAAGCCTCAGTTGCCCTTAGTTCCTAACACCCCAAAAGCAGGGTCCCGACGAGGGACTGAATGAACTAAGGGCAAGCTGTGAGCTATCCTGGCATCAAAATGGGCCAGGCCAAAGTGCCATGATTCTTAACTATAAGTTAAGAGCTTGATCATAGACAAATGCTGTCATGATCCAAAAGTAATGATGAGACTAGGACCCTGCTAGGGATAGGAAAGACTATCTGGCCTGAGCACTGTAGTCTGAGATCGAGATGGTCCTAGGAGAGCAATTCTATAAGCTTAAGGTATTTCTTACTGTATCCATACAAAATGATTTATATTTATATTATGAATGCTTATATGTTTGTTGGACAAGGAGAGGAGAAAAACACCCATGGGATTCTGCTCTAGGGTGGGTCATACTCTCTCTGCTGAGAGAGTATCTGTCCTAGAAGCGGCTTTCCTCAAGGGAAAGAACTTTACCCCTATTAATTGTGACCACACCTATGTGTAATTGTTACCCCAACTCCTCATACTGGGGGATGTAACTAGACTGTAAGAGTGGGCTGGGGAATCAGAATCAGGATCCAGACTCCAGAAGGAGGAGAAAGGGGATCCAGATTCCAGAGCCAGAAAGAGAATGAAGGGAGATTGAGGAGGAGAATGAAGTAGCATGGGGAGGAAGAAGCAGGGGGAGAATCAGAGGAGAATGGAGATTGGAATGGAATAAACTGCATCTAAGACCAACAAGCCTGGCCCTCGTTTCCTTCCTTCACCTGCCCATCACTATAGACCTCTCTGGGGTGGGGAACCAATGTGGGACTACTGAACGCAGGCAGTGGGAAAGATAGACTGCTGCCATCTTTTTAAATTTACACACCATTTGGTTTCCTGAGCACCACCAGGAGAAATTCCTGAATGCAGAACCAAGAGTAATCCCTGAGCATCACTGGGTGTGATCCAAAAGCCAAAACATAACAACAACAAAAAACAACCATGGAACCAAGACCTTGAAATCCTCTTATCTGACACCCCAAATCCAAACTTCTAGAATCAACCTGGGATCCTATTCCAATAGGCTTGTTATTGTAATTGGGGACAGTCGGGTCATACCCAGCTGTGCACAAGGATTATTCAGGGTGCCATTGGGAGGACTAGCTTTTTGAGCTATTTCCCCAATCCCTTACTACATTTTTTAGGGGGACAGGTCACACCCAGCAATGTTCAGGGCTGATTTCTAGGTCTGTGATTAGAGATTGCTCTTGGTGAGGCTCAGGGGACCATATGGGGTGCTGGGTGCTGGGTTCTAACCTGGATCGGCTGCAGGAAACACAAACTCCCTACCCCTGTTCTATCTCTCCAGCCCTTAGATTCTTCTTTTTCTTTTCTTTCTTTCTCTGTTGTTGTTCTTGGGCTCACCCAGGGATGCTCAGGTATTACTCCTGGCTCTGCACTCAGAAATCACTCTTGGCGAGCTTGGGGAACCATATGGGATGCTGGGGAATCAAAATTAGTTAGCCATATGCAAGGCAAGCGCCCTACCCATTGTACTATCACTCTAGCCCCCCGAATTCTTAATATTCTGCAGTGTTCAATGTTTCCCAGCCAATCCACAGATTTTGAGTCCTGTAAAACTCACTGAGCTAATGGTGCGCTGGTCCTTATATTGCAATGGATGGAACTGGTAGCTGCATGAAAGGAACGTGCCTTGACAACCCCTGTTAATCTCTACAGCCTTGAGCATCTACTTCTAACATTTCCTGTTTCCAACCAGGAGGAAAAACAACACCTCCCTTACAAGTATGGGGCCATGAGTCTGAATCACCAGCAACCACATGCACAAAATTTAATCTAGATTTTCAATCTCTGCTGCTTGTGATCCCAGCTTTCCCATCATTTCCAGTCATTCTACAGCCTAATGTGTGACAGCACCACAAAATGGTGTGTGACGCCCCCTAGCGAACCAATTGAAATAGATGTGTGAGTGCCGGGGCCAGTAAATGGCAATTCACGGTAATGGGCAACCCTGTGAGCGAACCAACCACAATTAGCATAATGCCTTTTTGGGGGCTGGGGGGAGCACACCTGGGGTTGTCAGGGTTTACTTCTGGCTCTGTGTTCAGTGATCACTCCTGGCGAAGTTCTGGGTGAAAATACGGGATGTCAGGAATTGAACCCAGGTGCTCCAAGCTGTACTATCTCTAACCGCTGTATTATCGCTCTGGACCCACAATTGCCTTACCCACTTATTTTGGGAGTGGGGGGTGCACATCCGGCAATACTCAGGGGTTACTTCTGGCTGTGCACTCAAGAATTACTCCTGGTAGGGATTGGGGGACCATATGGGATGTTCAGGATCGAACCCAAGTCGGACTCAAGGCAAGCGCCAGACCCGCTATACTATCACTCCCGCCCAATTAGTGTGTCGTAACGAAGAATGCCACTCGCGCAAGTCTGCCAGCTAAAGGAGCGTAAACCTTGGTGAGCCCTGGGACCCCCCCCCCCCCGTCAGCACCCCCAGCAAGAACCACTGCCAAAAAATATGCAAGCAGCGGGCCAGGTGACGTGCAAACTGCCCCCGCACAACAGTATCATCAACAAAAACAAAGAGAAGGGGAAAAGGGAATGAAAAAAAAACAGCCGATTTCATTATTCCAATTAGCCAAACCTGACCAGAGTGACAACGTGAGCGTCTGGCTGGGCCATGAACTACCCCAGGAGGGTACATTCCACCGTCTTAAGTGCCTCATAAGCCCATTCCATCTGCACAAAAGCATCCTGGAGTAAATGAGAGCATAACAGGAGGGGAGAAGAAGCAGGTTTTGTGCATGCTCTGGGAGCTGAAACTCGCTCTCCCTTCCCATAAGAGATTTTATTTGCATACATGAATAGTTAATTAACTGGAAAGGAAGCACTGAGAGTCAAAGGTGGAAGACAGAGTCGGGCTCTGCGCCGTTCCGACTGATGGGGAGAAGTAGGTCGCCCATAGAACTACAACTCCCAGGAGGCTTTGACAAGGCTCCCGGAAGAACGGTCCAGAGTCATCCGCGGGGCAGAGCTTCCGCGTCTGCGCAGGCTCCGGACAAGCGACAAGGACTTGCTCGCCTTAGCGCTCAGGCTTCGGCTCTCATTGGTGAGCAACGAGGGCGTTTCCAGGGTAACCGCGGGGTCGGAGCTAGGCGGAGACAGGAAGTGACCTCATCGCCGCGCGCCGGCAGCCTGAGAGCTCGAAGATGGCAGCGCGCAAGGGTCGGCGACGCACGTGCGAACCCGGGGAGCCCATGGAGACCGAGACCCCCGACGCAGGGGTAGAGCGTCGCGCGGAGGTCTACCTGCCCGGTCGGGGGCCACCGCTGCGCGAGGGAGAGGAGCTTGTCATGGACGAGGAGGCCTACGTGCTGTACCACCGCGCGCAGACTGGTAGGGCAGCGGACCCGGTGGGAGGGGAATCCTGAGTCCGAGGGAGCTGTTGCCGAAGGAGGCGGGGCTGAAATCCGTTCTTCGTTTCTACACTTCAACTCTGCATCTTCTCCCAGGCTCCCCATGTCTCAGCTTTGACATCGTCCGGGACCACCTGGGAGACAATCGGACGGAACTGCCCCTGACTCTTTACCTATGTGCTGGGACCCAGGCGGAGAGCTCCCAGAGCAACAGGTGCGTGAGACCCGATCGGAAGTCTGAGTGAGTCCTCTGCCTCTCAACTTCCTCCGGACCCCAGAAGTCGGGTTTCAACCTCCCTCTCCACGGGGCCGAGGCGATAGGTCTGTGGGTAAAGCGCTTGCCTTGCACGTGTCCTACCGGGTTCAGTCCCGGACACCCCATCGGTTCCCCCTGTCCCACCAGGAGTGATTCCTGAGCACAGAGGTAGGAGTAAACTCTGAGCATGGCCGGGTATAGCACCAAACCCACACCTATCAACCTCCCTCTCTCTATTGTTCGGCCATTCAAGACCCTCCCTCATCCTCTCCCAGATTGATGATACTTCGAATGCACAACCTGCATGGAACCAAGCGCACACCATCCGAGGGCAGTGATGATGAGGAGGAAGAGGATGAAGATGAAGAGGATGAAGAGGACAGGAAGCCTCAGCTGGAGCTGGCTATGGTGCCCCATTATGGTGGCATCAACCGAGTCCGGGTAAGTAGAGTCACAGGAAGCACCTCTGGATTGCTGGAAACACATCCCCACTTGGGTCTACCAGCAGATCCTTCGCATGTTTAAAAACAGCACCAAGCAGGAGTGATAGTACCGTGGGTAGGGAGTTTGTTTTGCACACGCCCTACTAAGGTTCAATTCCCAGCATCCCATATGGTCCCCTGAGCACTGTCAGGAGTTAATTCCTGAGTGTAGAGCCATGAGGAACCCCTAAACATCACCAGGTGTGACCTAAAAAAGCCAAAAAAAAAGAACAGCACCTAGGATTTACTTTATAAAGCTAGAGCACCTTTTTTTTTTTTTTGAGTAAATGGGTTGGTCCACACCTGGTGGTGCTCAGGGAGTACTCTTGGCTCTGTTCTCAGGGTTGGGCTTGTAGGACCATATGGGGTGGTGCTTAGGAGAACATGGTGCTGATTTCCTAAGCTGAGTCAGCCATATGCAAGGCAAATGCCTTACTCGTGTGCTAGCTCTCCAGCCCCAGTATTTTTTTTTTTTGTTTGTGTGTTTTCTTATTTTGTTTTTTGGGCTACACCCAGTGGTAATCAGGGCTCATTTTTGACTTTGTGCTTAGAGATATGAGCTCCTGGTGGGGCTCAGGAACCCCTTTGGTATGCCAGGACCTCAGGTCAGCCTTACCGTGCTGTATATTATGGTAATCAGTACTTTGTCCAAGGTGCGATGAGAGTGGTTTTTATATTCCTTCCTTTGAACAGTTCTGAGAGTTCAAAGGTGACCTGATGGCTGAAGAGAGTACCGGAGTGAGAGTACTTACCTTGATTGGTAGACACGGTTTGAATTCTAATGTTATAGCCAGTTACAGCCCAACTGCCCCCAGAACAAACAAAACAAAACAAAAAATTACCTGGATTGATGGAGAAGAATGTGGGTTCACAGGTATTGAGTAATGTAACTGAGATGCAGCTTGGTTGGTGACCAGAAAAAGTCCCATGCCAGTCGAGCAAGAGGACATACTTGCACCTGTTTCAGGAACAGTTCGGGGCTCTACTTTTATGTTTGAAAGTTCCAAATGGATCGGAGCAATAGTTCAGTGGGTAGGGAGTTTGCCTTGCAGCTGCCCTAGGTTTGATTTCCAACATCCCATATGGTCTCTGAGCACCTCCAGGGGTGATTCCTGAGTGTAGATCCAGGAATCCGTGGCATCCCACATGGTCCCCCATGCACCGCTGGTGTGATCCCTGAATGCAGGGCCAGGAGTAAGCCCTGAGCACTGCCAAGGTGTGGCCCCAAACCAAGCAGAAACACAGCCTGCCCCTTCTCAAACCCGCATCCCCACGGGGACTACAACCGATGACGCTGTCCACCGGTTTGCTATGCCTTCCGGCAGCCTTGGCTTAAGCTAACAGCCCAAGGGATCCCCTCAGCAGCCCCATCTGATTCCCCCCCCCCATCCTGTGTCCACTCTTCCCCACAAGTAAAAGCTAATTCCTTCCAACAGCCTTCAAGGTCCCAAATGACCCATCTCCTCTGTGCCAGCCCCCAAGTCTCATTTTTTCTGCTCCAGACAACCCAGTTCCCCAGAATTGCCTCAGAAAAGCTGTTTGCTGAAAGAGCCCTGGGCTCCCTCCTCTTTCATAGTGGGCATCTGTTCCCAGGATACCCCACCCCGGGCTCACTGAATTCTCTTCCACCTTATTTTCCCCTAACAACATTCAGCACTCTTCCTCTCCCCTCCGCCCCCACCCCATAGTCACACAGTTTCCTCATTCCTTCACTCACAGGCTATAAATCTGAGCATTGTTTGCTGATGAATCCCCAGGGCCCAGGTCTGTGTCCACAGAAGGGCCAAGTGTAAACAGTGCTCTAATATCCCCCAGACCTCCAGAGCCAGAGAGCACCATGGGCTGAGCACAGACTTAGCAGTTGGGAGGCCCAGGTTCAATCCCCAGCACCACGGTCTCTGAAGCACTGCCGAGACTGACCTCCCAGAGCTAACAGTAGCCCCCAAAGTCAACAGAAACAGAGAAGCAGATGGCACAGGGAGGACCAGGAAGAAAATTCCAAAGGCGAGGGAACTCTGTGCTGGAGTGCTGGGCTCGGTACACAGTTGCCAGCACTGCCCGGAGGGACCCCAAAAATCAGAAAAATCAAATCAAAAGAACAAACTGCACTTTACCAGCTGGGGCAGTGATTGGACCTTTTTTATATTTTTGGCTTTTTGGGTCACGCCTGATAGTGCTCAGGGCCTACTCCTGGCTCTGCGTTAGGGATCACTCCTGGCAGTACTTGGGGGACCATGTGGGATGCTAGGGATTGACCCCGGGTTGGCCGCATGCTCCAGCCCCAGGAAGTTCATTTTCAGTGTATCCTGCACCGAGGGTGGGTGTGAAGAAGAGGAGGCAAGCCTCGGATCTGAGATGAGCACTGCAGGATGGGCACTGACAGTGGTGGTGCTGGCCTTTAGTCCTTGAGTCCCGTGGTCAGACCTGCGGGCACTTTCCCAGTGACAGGGTGGGGGTGGGAGTGGGCAGTGAGCATGTGTAGGAGGAACGTGCTTGGCAAGTCTGAGGCCCACAGCCGGGACCCAGCTGCTTTTGGAGGTTTTGGAGAGCAGGAGTCAGCTGCCCGCAAGGAACCCCTCAACCTTCCCTGTTCCCTCAGTACCACACCGCTCTCTGGGGGCTGGAGCTCCTTCTCCAGAGGGGTGTGGGGCCTGTCTTCCCAGCCCTGCAGGATCTGTGCCTCCCCGCCCCCCATGTGAGCACCCCCTTCTCCTCGGGAACCTGCAGGTCTCGAGTCTGGGCGAGGAGCCGGTGGCGGCGGTGTGGTCGGAGAAAGGCCAGGTAGAGGTGTTCAAGCTGCGGCGGCTCCTGCGGGCAGTGGACGATGCCCAGTCCATGGCAGCCTTCCTGCGGGAAGAGCAGGCGCTCACGAAGCCCATCTTCACCTTCGCCGGCCACATGGTTGAGGGCTTTGCCCTGGACTGGTCCCCCCGGGTACCTGGTGAGCCCCCGGGCCACCCAATCAGTCTGGGAGGGGGGGTCCAGGGCAGGGATGGGTGCTGGGGGGGTGGTGATGACGTGTCTCCCTGATCCCCTGGCCAGGCCGCCTGCTGACCGGGGACTGTCAGAAGAATATCCACCTCTGGACGCCCACCGACGGGGGCTCCTGGCATGTAGACCAGAGGCCATTCGCTGGCCACACGCGCTCCGTGGAGGACCTGCAGTGGTCCCCGACAGAGGACACGGTGAGGGTGTGCTGGAGGCAGGATGGGGAGCTGGTCCCCAAAACAGACAGGAGCCTGCTTCCCCCCAGGGGCCAGGCCCCCTTCAACACTTGGGCCTTCTGCTACCCCAGGTGTTTGCCTCCTGCTCAGCTGATGCCTCCATTCGCATCTGGGACATCCGTGCTGCCCCCAGTAAGGCCTGTATGCTCACCACTGCCACTGCACATGATGGTGATGTCAACGTCATCAACTGGAGCCGCAGGGAGCCCTTCCTGCTTAGCGGTGGGGATGACGGTGCTCTCAAGGTGTGGGACCTGCGGCAGTTCAAGGTACTTGGCCGGTGGCCCCAGGCTCTGGGTTTTCCTGGCTTTTTGGCACTAGCTGATGAAACTGAGGTTCAGCAATAGGAAGACTCGGGGCTGGGTTGAGGTCACTCACCCTGAGCCAGAAAGTTGATGTGGCCCAGAGGCAGGGCACACAGGGTCACGAAAACCTGGTGAGCCCTCTCGCTTCTGGGAGTTGTAGTTTTTCTTCCAATGGCTCTTAGCCCAGAGGTGTAGCTCAGCTCGCAGGATAAGGGGAGACTGAGACACAGAAAGGATGGGAGGAGATAGGAGAAAATCACCTGTAGGGTAACTGGAGGCTCAGTGTGGGGTCAGGCAGGAGGAATCGCATCTTCTACTGGGCCTCTGGGCATCTGTACTTTCCAGGGACCATATTTGGGTTCCTTTCTCCTTCCAGTTTACGAGATCTCGGGGCCCCTTAAGACTCTGCTGAGATAGGACAGCAGGGAGGTCATTTGTCTTGCACAGGGCCGACCTGGGTTTCCTCTCCGGCATCCCCCTGACCCCCTCCAGGAGTGATCCCCTAGCACCTCTGTATATGGCCCCCAGGCAGGAATTTAACGGGTTCTATAGAAAGGATCTTGGGAGGCCCTCGAAATGAAGCCTTCCTCCTAGGGTCCAGAGAGGGCAGGCCCGGCTGAGTTTATGGACCCCTGGGGTTTGCTTTTCCAGCTGGGCTCAGGTCCCTAGCAGCACTCGGACAGGGCCCCCCCAGAGCCTGCAGTCTGGCTGCTCCCTGCTCTGGCCCCTGTAGACTCCGCTGGAGACTCACAGCTCCTCTGGTGACTGTTCGTCCTGATCTCACACTGACACCTAAGAGAGTCTTGAGCATTCGAGAAATGTTACTCAAAGACTGGCAGTACTTGAGAGTCTGTGCCCTTCCCAGGGATTGAGAACCCAGATGGCAGAGGGCAGGGGACCCACTGGAGCCACGGGGCTTCTCTGCCTTTGTTCCCAGCTGCCCAACCTTGTCTTGCTTGGCACACCTGAGCTTAGTGCCTGGTCCTACACTCGGGCAAGTACTTGCCTTGCATGTGATGCCTTGGGTTTGATCCCTGACACCCCCCTACACACACATACACGCCCGCTTCAGCTACACACACAACACACACACACACACCCCTACACACCCCTGATTCCCCCCTACACACTCACTTCCACCCCTGCTTCAGCCTGAGGAGATTATGGGGTAGAGCCCTTACTGAACCTGAGAGCTGGGGAGGGCTAGGAGAGTCAGGCTATCGCCCCAAATTCCTGACTCCACTTTCTTCGTAGTCTGGCTCCCCAGTGGCCACCTTCAAGCAGCACGTGGCCCCCGTGACCTCAGTTGAGTGGCACCCCCAGGACAGTGGGGTGTTCGCTGCCTCGGGGGCAGACAACCAGATCACACAGTGGGACCTGGCGGTGGAGCGTGACGCAGAGGCGGGCGACGCAGAAACGGACCCGGGCCTGGCCGAGCTGCCCCAGCAGCTGCTCTTCGTGCACCAGGGCGAGACGGACCTCAAGGAGCTGCACTGGCACCCACAGTGCCCCGGAGTGCTGGTCAGCACCGCGCTCTCGGGCTTCACTGTCTTCCGCACCATCAGCGTCTGACACTGCCCACAGGCTCCCGGAGCCACAGTCCCGTCCTCCAGATCCAAAACTGCTCCTGGCCGGGTCCAGGACCCAAAGGTTGAAGCGCTTGGACAGCCACACTCTGAGGCCTGGGCAGGTCCAGCTCCGTCCACAGACTTGCTCCCTTGGGCTGGTACCTGGCCCACTGCAGCCACACGGCTGAGTCTGACCATGGTTCTGTAGAGGTACTGGGTGGCCCCTGTGCCCCAGATTCGCCAGTACCTGCTGTCAGTGTTTGCTCTTTCCCAGGTGCGCCTGGTGTAACCCTTGACTCATGTCCATGGCCACTTGCCCCAGAACACTCCAGTGCCTTCGGTGGTCAGATAAGCCCTCCAGCAAGGGCTCCTGGCCTTATGCCTTGGAGGGGAGACAGGACCATGTGTGTGGGGTCTGTCCCCTTTGTTTTGAGAGCACGGGCCCTGCAGGGAGAAATGTTGGGAGTTCCTGCTAGTAAAGAGGGGGAGCAGCCCAGACTCTGACTCCTTCTGACGCAGTGGTGGGGGGGTGGTGGGAGGAGCCTAGCACCTGCCACTTTCTGCCCCCCTGTGGCCCCACCTCAGCCCTGCTTCTCTGCCTGGGGGTTGGGCCCCCTCTTCCTGTGCCTAGGGGGCCTCATCCACCTCACCTTTCCCTTCAGCTCCCTGGTGGCCGCCCTGCTCCTGGCCCCCCTCCCTGCTCTCCTCTGCCGGCTCCCGCAGCCTCCTTGGGCCGGGCCCAGTGCCCAGCCTGGCTGCCCTCCCTGGCTCCCTAAGACAGCTGGGCCGGCCCCGCCCCCATCCCCTCTGCCTGCCTCTGATCCGCGGTGTCCCCGGGTTGCCAGCAGAGGTGCAGTGGCGGCGGCATGGGGGGAGGCCGGCAAAGCAGGTATGTGCGTCCCTGCCAGGGCTTGGGCTGGGGGAGGTTAGGGCGGGGGTGCTCCTAAGAGCTGGGCCCCAATCCGCCGACCCCCCAGCTGGTCTAGTCTGCTTATCTTTCTAGCACTTTCTCTACCACTTTCTACCTCGCTCTGGCTTGATCTCCCCATCCCAGCCACCATGTCCCCCTAACTCCCTCCTGAGGGTCTCCCATCCCTGCTGCAGTTCTCTTCCTCTGCCTGCACCTCTCTGCTTGTGGGCATTCTGCCCCCCCCCCCCCGCTCCATCGGAGGGTGGGGGAGTGGAGGGAACCCTGAAGTCTCAGGAGAAGAGGGTGCATGGGGGTGGGGCTTCTTGGCTGCAGATTAGTGGGTGACATTGACACGGGTCCCCTAAGCCCCACTCACCTTTATATGGAAACATTAAGCTGCTCTTGTGGGCAGGTCAGGGGGAGGGGGTGCCTGAACCCCAGGCCTTGTGAAAGCTGGGCCATGCTGGAGGAGCATGGGGCCCCTGGAGGGGGAGCCCCGGGCCTGCAGGTTGAGGTGCAGTAGGGGACTGCATCTCTGACCTTTCTCCCCTGTGCAGCTTGGGGCAATGATCACCCCCTCCTGAACAGTCAAGGTGAGCGCTGGGGTTGGGGGTGCTGCTGAAACCTTGCCCCACTGGGCACCAGACCAGCCAGCAGGAACACCAGGTTTGGGGGCACTCCAGCTTTGCAGGGTCGGCTAGTCCCCATGTCCATTACTAGTAAGCCAGCAGGACCACATGGCCTCTGGACCCAGGTGGGGCTCCCTTGCCGGTCCTTGGCTCCTGAGGGACTGCGGAGGCAGCCTTCTGGCTCCATCCTCAGTTTCTCCCTTTTTGGTGGGTGGCTGTACCTAATTGTGCTTGGGGTGACTCTTGGTTCTGCACTCAGGGATCACTCCTGGTGGCCTTGGGGGACCATATGGGGTACTGGGAATCAGGCCTGGGTCTGCCACATGCAAAGCAAGCGTCCTCCCCTCTGTAACTATCACTCCAACTCCATCACTTTCTCCTTTTTGGACAAATACTTCAGACACCCAGGGTAGGGTAGGAGAACAAAGAAGGGGGCCAAGTTGGAGTCTCACGTGGATTCACTTCTCTGATGGGAACTTCAGCTTTTTGTCTTGGGGGACACCCCCTCCCATGTGTCAGGTCTATAGGTGGGCAGAATAGTCCCAGATAGCAGGGACAAAGCTGGGGGTAGGGATCCTGTGCCGCACCTGACGTCACTAGGTGCCCTGTCCTTGAGTGTTCGGCCCTGCCAATCCTGGCAGGATGCTCAGAGCCTGGCATGCTACTGGGTCAGAGATTCTTGAGCACCAGCAGGTCAGGCAGATGGAACCCTGAAACTGCTGGGGACCAGACCTGAGTCAGCACGCAGGCAAGTGACCCCCTGCCACACTCTGGAGGAGGAAGTCTGGAGTGAGGACGGGGCCAGACTCAGCTTCACCTGGCTGTGGGGTCGAGTCCCAGGTAGACACTCCACTCCCGGAAAAGGTTAGTGCCCAGAGAGAATTGCCCTAGATCTGAGAGTCAGGCTGGAAGTCACACCCCACCTAGGGCTCAGTGTGTAGTGCTGAGGCTAGAGCCCAGGAAAAGCCCTCACCTTAAGACTGTGTTCAGGACTTTCTTGTTTCAGGGGGCACACCAGGTAGAGTTTAGGGGACAGTAGGAGATGCCAGGAATTGAATCTGGGTTGGATGCGTGGAAGACAAGTGCTGTCCTTGCTGTGCTGTCATTCTGTTACCTCAGGTGTGTATGTTTATGATCTTCCCAGAACTTGCCCACACACTAAATCTGCACATCAGTGCCAAGGTTCCAGAGTCCCCAAGGCCTTCAAAGACACATTTAGCTGGGTCAATTTGAGAACATCTTCATCCTCCCAGAGACTTCGGGTCCCCTGGCTTCCCAGTCTTCTTACTTTCTATCTGTTGCGTCTCTGGGTTGGCCTATTTCTGTGTGTGTGTGTGTTTTGGCCTATTTCTGTGTAGTGTGTGTCCTGTTCTGTCTCCTGGCACTGAGGAATCACCTGATATTTCAGTGCTTTCCATCTTCCGGCTTGCATTTCTTTTGGACCCATGGGCCCTTGTGTAACTGTGTGTCCTGTGGAAGGGGATGCCACAGGGTTTTCCCAGAACACACTGCCCTATCACTTTGTCATTAATGAAATTTTTGTACTGTTGCTGTCATCCAGAGTGGTGTGGTTTAGGGGCTGGAGCAGTAGCACAGCAGGTAGGGTAGGTTGGCCACGTGCCAACCCGAATTCAATTCCCAGCATCCCATATGGTCCTCTGAGCACTGCCAGGGATGATTCCTGAGTGCATAACTCAGGAGTAACCCTTGTGCATCACTCGGTATGACCCCCCCCCCCCAAAAAAAAGTCTTGTGGTTTGGAGATCCTCGTGGGAAATCAGTCTGAGTATCTTTTCTTGTGTTCACTGGACACTGGATAGTTCTACATTTTTCCCATTTGGGAACCCCAGATTCAAGCTCCGCACTACATGCTCCCAGGAGCAACAGCTCCTGACAGTGGGGAGCAGCCCCTGAACACACTGGATATGGCCCTCTACAACCAAAATAAGGTTTTTAGGGGTGCTTTGGGACAAACCCAGGCAAAACATGTGTTTACCCCATTGAGCTTGTTTTCTTGCCAGCTCAAAGAAATGTCAGCTCACATCATTTCCTGATCAGTAATAGGTCATCTTACTGTTGCAAAAGCCCATTATAATTTAGTTAGATATGTCTTGGAGGGAGGCATACCCTTTGGTGCTTAGAGCTTGTTCCTGGCTCTGCATGCTCTGGTGCTCAGGGATCATTCCTCGCAGGGCTCAGGGGGTCATAAGGGGTGTCAGAGTTCACACCTTCACACCATGCAAGACAAGCATGCATGCCCCCTGTGTTCTCTCTTGCCCCGGTACACATTTCTTCAATTCATGGTTTGTAGATATTTTGTTGTGGGTTATCTTTCCACTTAATAGTGTCTTGGAAGCACCAAAGGTTTGAACTCTGAAGTTTATGTACCTCTCTTTTCCCCCTATTGTTGCTTGTGCTTTCCTAACCCAGCTTTTTGGTTTAAAAAGAGTACTCGGGGTGCTGGAGTGATAGCACAGTAGGTAGGGTGTTTGTCTTGCACGCTGCCGACCCGGGTTCGATTCCCAGCATCCCATATGGTCTCCTGAGCACCGCCAGGAGTAATTCCTGAGTGCAGAGCCAGGAGTAACCCCTATGTATCGCCAGGTGTGACCCAAAAAGAAAAAAAAAATTTACTTGGACTCAGAGAGTAATGTGGGTAAAGTACTTGCATGCCTGCCATACAGCCAACCCAGATTCAATACTCGACATCCATAATAAGCACCCCCATGGGTGATTCCTGAGTGCAGAGCCAGAGTGGTGCCCCAAAACAGCAACAAATAATTTACCCTTGGGCCAGAGCAGTAGTACGTGGGTAGGGCACTTGCCTTGCAGGAGGTGAACCTGTGTTTGATCCTCAGCATCCCATATGGTCCCTCAGCCCTTGCCAGAAATGACCCCTTGGTGGTGTTCAAGGGACCATATGGGATGCTGGGGATAGAATCAGGGTTGGCTCTATGTAAGACGGTGCCCTGCCCCAGCATTCTCTCTGGCCTGTTTCTCCTGGGCCAGAGAGAGTACAGGGTAGGGAACCTGTCTTGCACGCAGAACGAGGGTTCGCTCCCGCACTGCATAATGGTTCGCCAAGTATCACCAGGAGAGATCCTGGAGCCCTGAGCACCGCCCCTCGGACAATATGGGATGCCAGGAGATCAGGGTGCACCTTGTGCAAGGCAAGTTCGCACTGTAGTATCTCTGGCCTCTCGAGAGCTTCCAGCCCGCTTCCTACAGGAGCTTGCCCGGGAGCCCCAGGGCACGCCTGCCGCCCCTAACAGGGCTGTCCTGCTTCTTGTCCCTGCAGGTCCGGGGCGGCGGTCGCCCCCTACTAGGCCGCGTGGAGGGGGCGACCCCGCCCGATGGGCTTGGCCAGAGCCTTACGCCGCTTGAGCGGCGCCCCGGAGTCCGCAGAGGGCCGGGCAGGCGACGAGGAGGCGGCGGGGCCGGGGCTGTGCGGCAACGGGTGGGCTCCGAGCCCGGGGGCGGCCGCGGGGCGGCGGCGCGGGCGCTTCGTCAAGAAGGACGGCCACTGCAACGTGCGCTTCGTCAACCTGGGCGGCCAGGGCGCGCGCTACCTCAGCGACCTGTTCACCACGTGCGTGGACGTGCGCTGGCGCTGGATGTGCCTGCTCTTCTCCTGCTCCTTCCTGGCCTCCTGGCTGCTCTTCGGCCTGGCCTTCTGGCTCATCGCGTCGCTGCACGGCGACCTGGCCGCGCCGCCGCCGCCCGCGCCCTGCTTCTCGCAGGTGGCCAGCTTCCTGGCCGCCTTCCTCTTCGCGCTGGAGACGCAGACGTCCATCGGCTACGGCGTGCGCAGCGTCACCGAGGAGTGCCCGGCCGCCGTGGCCGCCGTGGTGCTGCAGTGCATCGCCGGCTGCGTGCTGGACGCCTTCGTCGTGGGCGCCGTCATGGCCAAGATGGCCAAGCCCAAGAAGCGCAACGAGACGCTGGTGTTCAGCGAGAACGCCGTGGTGGCGCTACGCGACCGCCGCCTCTGCCTCATGTGGCGCGTGGGCAACCTGCGGCGCAGCCACCTGGTGGAGGCCCACGTGCGGGCCCAGCTGCTACAGGTGGGGGGGCCGGGAGCTGGGAGTAGGCGGCCGGGGGTGAGGGGCGCCGGGCGGGGTGACAGTCCCCAGCAGGCTCTGGGGCACGCAGCACGGCACCGCCTCCTGGACTGAGGCTAGTTGGTACCCAGAGCAGCTGTAGAGATGTGAACCCAGAGATAGTGTCCCGGAGATGTGAACCCGAGAGAGAGCTTGGGGACCAGTGCTCCCTGCAGCTCTGAACCTGCGAGACCCCCCCTCCCACCCCCAGGAGACAGGAAGCTTGAGGATGGGCCTCCTGTGGGATAGCAGGAAATCTGCAGCCTAGAGGGCTGCTCTGCCCCTGGAAATGGCCCCCTCCTGAACTAGTTGCAGAATTCCCGGAAGTCCCGGAGACTAGGAAAATTCTCCGGATGGAAAGGGTCTAAGATGATGATGGACTTGGGTTTTGTTTGGTTAAGGGCCACACCCAGCAACGTTCAGGGCTGACTCTGAGCTCTGTACTTAGGGGTCATTCCTGGCAGTGCTCAAGGGTCCATATGGGGTGCTTGGGATTGAATGGCCCATTCACTGGACTATAGCTCTGCTCCATGATAGAGTTTTTATTTTGTTTTGGGGGTCACACCCAACGATGTGCACAAAGCATGGCACTGTCCCATGGACTGAGGCTAGTTGGTACCCAGAGCAACTGCAGAGATGTGAACCCAGAGATAGTGTCCTAGAGATGTGAGCCTGGAAGAGACTTTGGGGACTGGTGCTTCCTGTAGCTCTGAACTCGAGAACCCACCAGGAGACAGGAAGCTTGAGGATGGACCCCCTGTGGGTTGATTTGGGGTTATTTTGACTTTCTGGGTCACAACAGCAATACTCAGGGTTTAGAGGGTTTAGTTCTGGCTCTGCTCTCAGGAATTATTCCTGGTGGTGCTTGAGGGACATTATGGGATGCCAGAGATCAAACCTGGGCCAGCTGAGTGCAAGGCAAATGCTCTCTCTGCTGTACTATTGCTCCAGCCCCTTACTGTGGTCTTGGGCCTGGTTTCTGTGGTTCTGTCATTATTCTTTCTCCTGCTTTCTCATCTTCTTCCCCCTATGATTCCTTTATTTTTTTTGGGGGGGGCACACCTGACAGTGCTCAGAGATTATTTCTCGCAAGCTCATGGGACCACCTAGGGTGGCAGGGATCAAGCCAGGGTCAGCTGCATGCAAAGCAAACACCCAACCTGCTGTCCTGTCATTTCAACCCTGACCGCCTCTGATTTCTCCCTGCACCCCTTGTCTGAGACTCTCTCTCTCTCTCTCTCTCTCTCTCTCTCTCTCTCTCTCTCTGTGTGTGTGTGTGTGTGTGTGTGTGTGTGTCATTCTCTATCTCAGTCTCTCAGTCTCTCTGGCACTCTGCCCTGCTCTCCCTCCTCTTGTTCCTCATCTCCATTCTCTTCTCTCATAAACTCTATCTCTTCATTCATGTCTTAGTCCCCTGCTGTTTCTCCCATCTGTCCCCTTTCACTGCAGCCTCGGGTGACCCCAGAGGGCGAGTACATTCCCCTGGACCACCGGGACGTGGATGTGGGCTTTGACGGGGGCACCGATCGCATCTTCCTCGTGTCGCCTATCACCATTGTGCACGAGATCGACGCAGACAGTCCGCTCTATGAACTGGGTCGCGCAGAGCTGGCCCGGGCTGATTTCGAGCTGGTGGTGATTCTGGAGGGGATGGTGGAGGCCACAGCCATGACCACCCAGTGTCGCTCCTCCTACCTCCCAGGCGAGCTGCTATGGGGCCACCGCTTTGAGCCAGTCCTGTTCCAGCGTGGCTCCCAATACGAAATTGACTACCGGCACTTCCATCGCACATACGAGGTCCCAGGAACACCAGTGTGCAGCGCCAAAGAGCTGGATGAACGGGCAGAGCAGGCATCTCCAAGCCCCAAGTCCAGCTTTCCAGGCTCATTGGCTGCATTTTGTTATGAGAATGAACTTGCTCTGAGCTGCTGCCAGGAGGAAGAGGAGGATGAGGAGGATGAGGAGGGTGGGACGGAGGCAGAAGACACAGCCACTAGCCCCCGAATGCTCACACCCACCCTTGCACTCAGCCTACCTCCATGACATGAGCTCCTTCCTCCTCCCCCATAAGGTCCACCTTCCCAGAGACTGCAAGCTGGAGGGATGGGAGTGCTTTCTGGGGCCAGGCTAGGTACTACCACACACAGACAAAACAATGGTGGAGTCCATTTCAGCACATGAGGTTCTGCCATGCCTAGGAAAATCGCCAGAGACATACTGAACCTTAATTTCTCTGCATTCTGTGTTCCCTCCTGAGAACTCTCCTCCCCCTGACATAACTTATCAGTCTGATTCCTGAGTGCCAACAGACTCGGGGATCTAGCAATCTGGATCGTTTAAGAGGCGAAGACTGGCACTTCTAGATTCTTCTATGAGACTGGCTTGAGTTGTGGTCTGGGGCCAGGTATCAGCCTTCATCTGGGGAAGGAAGCTGGAACTTCTTGGGGCAGCAGGAGAACCAAATGTTTGTCATCCTTGATCTGAGATTCTGAGGGATGTTACTTCTGTTTTTTTTTTTTTTGTTGTTGTTGTTGTTGTTGGTTTGGTTTTGGGAACCATATGGGATGCTTGCAATGGAACCCGTTAGCTGCATGCAAGTCAAGTGCTCTCCCTACTGTGCTATCCTCTGGCCCTGATGTTGCTTCAGGGGGCACCCAATCAAGAAGTGTTTGTTCTTTCTCAACTTCTGAAAATGAGATGTTTCCAGTATTCCAGACTCTCTTGATTTCAAGGATTGTGGACGGCACATCGAGAAAAGACCTTGAAGTTTCTGAAAGCCCGAGTCAAGATTCTGTGGTTCTAGATTAATCTCATTGGTAAGCACAGATGATTCTAGAACTGATGTCTTGGACCTCAGTTGAACTGCTTCAGAAATCTACGAAAGCACAATGAGTCTTGAAGGACGAAAAGGTTAGGGCTTCTTGGTGTTGGGTCATTTCAGACCATGGTGGTAAAACATTCCACCAAGGAGCTAACTGCTATTTCCAAATAATCCAAGAGTTTTAAGTGCCATTCTAGAATGTCCAAAGAAATGGGGATTATGTGACTTGGTTGAGCTTTTAGTAAGCCAAGAATGGCAACTTTAAATGTCTCGGGGATGCTTCCAGATTGTCCCACAGAATGGAGAATCTTGAAGATTCTGGATGACTTTGTGGTTCCACAATGCCAAAAAGAATTGAGGCGCCAAAGAGCCACAGGCAGATTCTGGAGTTGGACTCGGGGCTTGGTAGGGGTTGATCTAGAAGCTGAGGGTTCAGGGCCAATCCTGTGGGTCACCAGGCTAGTAACAAGGAGAGAGAGAGAGAGAGAGAGAGAGAGAGAGAGAGAGAGAGGCCTAAGGCAGTGCTTGGAACCCTATGGCCAGAAATGTGTGTCCATTTCTTAAAGATGTTATACATACATGTATTATATATGCGATGTATAAATACAGATATCTATTTTTCCCCTGGTTCCTATAGGAGGGTTTAGATTTTTAAGCCTGAGCTAATTGTCAGGGAGTACTTTGCTAGGATTCAGAAAGCTTTGCTCTGCATCCGACCACTCCATCCATATCACTAGTTCCCCATCTTTAAACCTGTGCATCAGAACTTAAATTCTCCAAGATCTTTCACCAGGGTGATGCCCCCCTGAGGATAGCTTGGCAGGAATCTGGGGGATACTCTGGGGTTCTTCCTGGTGCTGGAATACTTGGCCTTCAGTGGGCCGGCTCTGAACCTCGTGTCTGATCTCAGGGTGGGGAAGGGGTAGTGAAATCTTTGCCCTGGGCCATCTGAGGGTGAAAAGGGGGAAGAGGAACTCAGAATGCCCCAGGGGCAAGTGAAAGTGTGCTCCCCAGATTAAATCTCCCGTAGCCCTGATACTGTGCCTCTGAGTGTTTCTGGGGCATGGGGGTGGGGTGGCCTTGAGCCTGTCCCCCCCACTCCTCCCATTCTGCTAGTTTACCTAAGTGTCTGGCAGGCTGGGAGCCAGCCGCAGAGGAAGCCAGTGCCAGGGAGAAGGACACGTTCCTCTGTCTCAGGACTGAAGACAGGCCTTGTCACTGTCCCTCAGCCTGCCCATGTGCTGCATCATCTCAGACAGAATCCCCACCTAATCTCCGGATGGGATCAATTAATCCCTACCTAATCTCGGATGAAATCCTTGCTCCTCTCCAGTGTGGGGTGGGCTCAGGGTGGAGGAGCAATAGAGATAGGCCAGAGGGCAGTGCCTGAGTTTAGGAGCAGAGGGGTCAGGAATGGGAGTTGTTTGGCAGGGGTGTAGGGTGGGTGGACAAGGCTGGCCCAGCCTGGGGTTCTCCTGGGAGGGACAGGGGGGCCCTCATAAAGGTCAGTGCTGGGATTAGGAAACTCTGGTGCCTAATCTGTCTGATCTGTCAGTTTAAACAGGTGTCGGTTTAAACAGGTCCAGGCCTGGAATCTGTCACCACCTGCGTAGACCAGGGGCAGGCCACTAAGGACAAGGTCCAACTTTGGCTCAGTCCCACGACAGGGGCACCCTATTTCTCCAGCGCAGCCAGGTCTCTTTCACGGGCTTTTCCCTGCGAGGGTTGGAAAGAGAGATGGGGGAGGGTCTGGTTTCAGAACTGGGGAGAGGTGAGGGATGGAGTTGCGTCCAGACCAAGAAGAAAAGGCCTTTGGGAAGGGGCAGGAGAGGCCAGACGGCTGAAGTAAAGGGCTCCATCCTAGCGAAAGGAGTGTCAGGGAACGCGGGTGGAACCTGAAGGCGGCGCAGGCGCTTTCACTATATTTGGTTTCCTCCCTTTGTCCTCTTTTCCGTGACAGCTGCCAAAGAGCGACGCATCTATAAGAAGGAATGAACCTCTTGTTGCACCACCCCTCGACTCTGAAGAGGCCGAGGTGGATCGGGGTGGGGGACGGGGTCGCAGCGGGGGTCTGGACCTCGAAGGAGCCAATGCCAAGGATGGGGGGCAGAAAAAAGTTGCGCCCCAGCGGCTCCTGGTTGCCTGGCAACCTGCGGTCCAAAGCGGGGGGGGGGGTGGGGGGGAGGTAGGGAGATGGATTTACGGCCCCACCCCCTAGCAACGATACCAAGTACCGCCCCCCAGAAACGAGACCAAGTACCGCCCCCTAGCAACGAAGTGTGGGAGGCGGGACGCGCGTGAAGTACCAAGCGCCCAGAGTCCCGGCGCAGGCGTAGTCGTCACAGCTCCTTTCCGAAGCTTCCCATTGGCCGGCGAGCCTTCGCAGTGTCTTCTTTTGTTTCGAAGGCGGGGCCCCACGCCGTTTGCGGGCTCCGATTGGCTGTACGGACCATCTACCTCCAGCCACACGGGGCTGCGTTTGTTCTTTGGATGCCCATTGGCCACGGAGGACGATCCTTCGGCCACGGGGGCGGAGCAAGCGAGAGTGTCCGCCATGGATTGGACGATGTCAAGACGAGGGGCGGTCCTTACTGGCGGGGCGGTTGGGAGGCGCAGGGAGAGTCTTTTCAGCGCTGAGGACTGGCGCTGAGGAGGCGGCGGTGGCTCCCGGGGCGTTTGAGCGGGCTCACCCGAGCCCGCGGGCCGACGCGGACCCAGGCCCGACGGGCGGCACTGCCCCGGACTCCCCGCGGGCCTTCCTAGCCGCCATGGAGGACGGAGTCTATGGTAGGTCGGGGCAGGGGTGGGGCTGGCCGGGCGCGCCGGAGCTGCTTCCCCGGCCCGGAACGTTCGGCCGCGGGTGTCGCCGCCCGCGCCGGGTCGCGCCGGGCCGCTCGGACCCCCTCGCCCGCCCGGCTTTTGTGCGGCGCGGCACCGGCTTCCGGCGCGGGGCGTTCCAGGCCATTGTTTGAGCCGAGCCCGCTTCCGGTGGCGGCGGGAGGGGGCGGAATGGAGCAGCGGAGGCTCGGCCGGGACCGAAGCGTTGGCACTGGCGGGGCCGGGCGAGCCCAGTGGCGGCCGCGAGCGGGGAGCGGGGCTGGCGGGGCCCGGCGGGGTGCGGAGAAACCTGGGTGGCCGCAGCGAGCCGCGCGCGGGCGGGGCCCGGCCCTGGACGCCCCGCCCCCTTGTCACCCGCTCCCGGGGCCCCGGTGACTTTTCCTGGACCCGGGCGTCCGGGCCCGGCCCCCTTCAACACTGAGAGCGCAGCCCCCAACCACGGCGCCGGGCATGGAGGCGGAACACCAAGGCCTCGGCCCTCTCCCAAGTAATGGACCCAGAAGTTCCGGCGTCCTGCGCTCGCCTACCCAGACCCAAGAGTTCAGGGGCCCCCAGGCAGGGTCATTTTCCCTTCCACGGGGGCTCCGGAGGCTCCGTTCTCGGCTTCATCCTCCCCAAGAGGAGGTGTCCGGACCCCCAGAGCCTCTGTGCTGACCCATGCTGCCCGACGTTCACCCCAGCCCCCCCCCCATCTCGGAGCCCGGGTGCCCCACTTTCCCGGAGGTCTGGGCCCCTTTAGATCGCAGGGACCCGGCCTCCCGGGTCCCAGACCTCATCCGCACCACCCTGGCCCGGCCTCCCAGAGCCCCCGGACCTCACTCCCGAGGAGCGGATGGAGCTGGAGAACATCCGGCGGCGGAAGCAGGAGCTGCTGGTGGAGATCCAGCGCCTGCGAGAGGAGCTCAGCGAGGCCATGAGCGAGGTGGAGGGTCTGGAGGCCAATGAGGGCAGGTGAGGGCAGAGGCAGTGCGTGGGGCGGGGGCCAGGTATCCCCCCTCCCCCCACCTCCCCCCCCCCATCACCTGGCCATGGGTGCTCAGGCATGGATCTCCCTCATTATCCCCCCCTCCCCCGCTCCACAGTAAGACTTTGCAACGGAACCGGAAGATGGCGATGGGCAGGAAGAAGTTCAACATGGACCCCAAGAAGGTATCACTTGCACCCCAGGGCTGAGCCAGCGAGACACACAGAGGGGAATCCTGGTACCTCTGGGTTCTAGAAGTGGCACAGGTTCCGGAGAGAGAGCACGGGGGTAGGGCCCTGGCCTTCCACACAGTCAACCTAGGGCCCTGTGGGGAGGCAGCCCTGAGCACAGTAGCTAGAAGTCACCCCCTGAGCACTGCCCAAGTCTCCTCCTACCCCCAGAAGAACTCCTTTGGTTCTCACCCTGATATTATTGGCCTTAGGCCAGGCACACCAGCCTCCCAACCTTTGGTTGTACTGGGTCCCCTGCCGGAGGGGGGCTTCCTTGTCTCCCATCTGCACCAATTTCCGGATTCCCTCCAGGTGTCACCTGAAGTTGCCAGAGGAGTTCGCTAAGGTACTCGGACAGTAACCATGTACAAAGTCGTACTTAGTAGTGCCAGGGCAGGGAGGCCCCTGGTGCAATCAGGGCAACTTCCT